TACCTGGGATTGCCCTGACCCAATGCAGCACCCTGCACTTGGCCTTATTGAAACTTACTGGGTTTTCCTGGGCCTGCTTCTCCAGCCCGTCCAGGTCCCTCTGGATGGCTTCCATTCCCTCCAGTTCATTGACTGCACTGCTCGGTTTGGTGTCATCTGCAAACTTGCTGAGGGCGCACTCAATTTTTCTGATGCTTCTGTTGTCCCCAGGGGACACAACCCAGCTGACCCCGCATCTGTCATAGAGGCACGCAAGTTAGAAGCAAGCATCATCAGCAGCTGGGTGAAATCTGCAAGGATGGAAAGAGCATGGGAGAAACGCTCCGGAGCGCCGGGCGGCGGCTGGCAGTGAGCGCAGCCATGGGAGCCGTGCTCAGGTGCTGCTGGGCTGCAGAGCAGAGCTGTGCCTCTGGAGAAGGTGCTGCCTCCTCTGCCCCAGTAATGGAAATTCAAGCAGGAGAAGAAAACCAAAAAGCCAAATTACTGACTGAAGTCAGAATCATGTTGCATGGGTTTCATGCTGTTCTGCTCATAACGGGAAGGTGCTTGAAATGGTGGAAACAATAAAATTTTCCTGAAGGCCAAGGAGTCATTGCTGTCCTGAAGAATGCGTTGGGTAGGATGAAAGTAAATTATTAGTCATCCCCTTTGTATTTTCTCTGTCTAGAGGAAAAGCGGAGGTATGGTCATCACATATTTGGCCTCACAGGTGACCAACTGCACATATTGCAGAATTACAGAACTGCAGGGGTTAGGAGGATCCACTGAAGATCCTGTTTGGTCCTACAGCAGGTTCCTTTGAGCAGGCTGCACGGAAGACATCCAGGCAGGTTTGTGCCCATCTCCCCTTGTCCTGTCACTGAGCAGAGCCTGGCCCCATCCACTTGACTCCTGCCCATTAAATACGTACAGTCACTGATCAGATCCCCTCTCCCCTTCCCTCCTGCAGCTGAACAGCCCCGGGGCTCTCAGCCTCTCCCCATCAGGAGGTGCTCCAGGCCCCCACCATCTCTGCACCCTATGCTGGGCTCTGTGCTGCAGGTTGGTCTGCTCCAGTCCTCACCTGCTCAGCCCCATTCAGTGCTGTGGATTTTGGTGTTCTCTTTTAGTGTTGTTTCTTAAGAGACACAAGAAAATAAGACGATAAAACACAAGATCTGCTTGGTGAGAAATTGATCTGCAGAAATCCTGTTTTGTCCCACTGTCCCTCAGGAGCCACACGTGAGTGAGTAGAAGCACAGTTATACTTGAGACAGCTTCAGCTCTTTAAAATAAATAACAAGTTTATTTAAGTGTGTGACAATTTCATTGCTTGGTAAGTATAACCAAAGACAACAAAAAAGGAGTTTTGATTTTTTAAAGCGGAGCAAACTATCTGTGTCCTTTAGCAGGTAGATTCTCACCTACTCGATGTGCTCTGTGCCAGTAAATAGCAGCAGAACTGTAAAAATACGTGTTTTGGTCATCAGTTGGATGCCTCATTTAATCAGTGTGCAGTGCCTTTCAGGCAGTGGAGAAGCCTCTCTGCTCACCACAGGCTTGCACTGCTTACAGTCACAGCACTGCTCCAACTTACATCACGTGGCTCGAACACAAGTCCTCGCGCTGCCAGGTCCCCCCTGCTGTCACAGTGCACTGGTTCCCAGAGTTGGACTGTTGGTCTCTTATTTCACAACACTGAGGTGCTGATAAAAGGTCTATGCTTCGTCTTCGTTGCTGTTGCTTTTTTTTGCATATGACCAACTTACCTCTTCCCTGTTCTTAAGCTCGAAAGGACAAAGCTTCTCTTGGAGGGGTACGGAGAGGAAGAACAGGACCTACGGCCTATTCACCAAATTATTTACCAATGGAGAGCAACCTACAGAACACCTCATTAGGCAAACTCCAGCCCCAAGCATGGGGCTTCATGACTGTTAATGGAACTACAACCTCAGTAAGAATTTTTTTCCCCTTGTGCTGTAGGAAAGTCTGCTACCTCTGCTAGATCTGTCAGCATGCCTTTGGCTCACACCCAAGTCAGGCTTCAGGTTGTCCTGCTGAAATTGTGGCTCAATCAGCTCTGCCACCTCCAGCCACGCGGAGATGGAGTCCAGCATTCTCCCTCCGTGCACACAGACCCCAACTTCTGCACTGAGATGTGCTCTACCCTAGCAATGGTTCAGGATTAGCACCACATAAAAAAGGCAGGTAGCAGCAGGTGTCAGTGCAGACAGGATGACATCTTGCCTCGACTGCCTTTGTCCCTGCCTTAGCGCAGCTCCCAGCAAGCAGACACTCTAAACCAAGCCAGCAATGCATCACAGCAGCCAACTTCAGTATCAGTCTTTGGGGTAGGAGTCTGCAATTTACCATTTGGACAGTGCTTGCTTTGAACCTTCCCATCAACAGGTTCCAAAGGTGTCTTCTCACCTTCCAGAGGGATACAAGTTCTTTAAGTCTTGCAGTGGACTACAGGAATCCCTCAGTTTCCTGCTGCAGACAGTACTTGCCCCAAAGGAGTCCAGTGTGAGGGATATGCATGAAGTGTTATATAAATAATTTTATAAGTCTTCAAGAGCAGAACTGCCACAAACTGTTCAAATATGGCAAAGAAATCCTTTATGCATCCCTTATCTCTGCAACATCACAGAATGGAATAGGAAAGAAAGCTGATTGCTCGAAGTTGGAGGTGCAAACACTGCAGTGTTTGAGCTTGGCATGCAATGCTGAGAACCTCACAATCAGAAGGCGGTGTGAAACACAAAAGCTCCCTGCAAGCCAATGCCATGGGCTTTGCCAAGCTGCTGGTTTCCATGCCTGGTATGGAAAGTTCCACACTCAAGAAGGTTGAACAGACGAGATGCTAAATGTGCCTGCATCCAGATACTGAATTTTCTTTGAGCAAACAGGTTAAACTGCAAGCAGGATGCTGCCAGCCCTGATGGCTCTTACCCCATCCATTTCTCAATGATGGTACAGCTGGGAAGGGCTGGACGTTTTTGCTTTATTTTAATCAGAAAAGGCACTCAAGCTCTTGGAGAGAAACCAAGGCAGCTCTTTGTGCAAAAGGAGGAAATCTTGGCTTGAATAGCTTTTCCCTGACGTTCAACCTGATCACAACCACACCACAGTGACAAAACCCCACAGTAGATTACAGACCCCAAAGTTAAGGCTTTGGTTCAAATAAGCACAAGAGTACAACCCCACACCATGGGGGAAAGGTAAGAATTTAAAGGTGTGCAAAGTTCCTGTTGGGCTTCAGGGAGGGCAGCGGGGAGATGTGAATAGGAGAAAGAAGGGCAAAGTTCATAGGCTGACAACACATTATGCTGAGGAAGCAAAAACAAGCAATTTGAAGGACCTTTGCAAAAGAACAGAAGAAGCAGATGAGCTCTTATCAGATTATTTAGCTTTGTATCATTTCATACGTGATAGAGAAGTCGAGCATTTGCTTTCTAAACAGAGCCAAGCATCTTCATATTTAAGGGATGTGTTCAGTAGAGACACTTTGCAAAGACAACTCAGTTTCCCAGGAAGAATTAGGTTGAGCAGAAATGAGCTGGACCAGCAAGCTCAGCTGTGAGGCAAGAAGCGTGTTTGGGAAAGTGCATCTTTACTCTTCTTCCTTCCTCCCATTCTACAATGGCTTAGCGTTACCCTCACACGAGACAAAAGAAAATTAGCTGTAGAGTTAACTACACTAAGATTAGTACAGGATTCCACCAACTTACTTCTGGCAAGCTCTTCAATGCATTCCACATCGTAAGAATTATCTTTATTTCCTCTTGGGGGTTTGTGAAACACCGTAGGCGAAATGCCACTTGTGGAATTTGTGTCTTTCACTGCCAAATCTGCAGCTCAGGGATCACCACGAGCTGCAGCAGCAGCACAAGGCCAAGCACCACCTTCCAAAGTTACTGCTGTCCTTGGAGCAGGAGGAACACGAACCATCCGCACAGGTTTGTCCTCTAGGAAATCTCAGGCCCCTTTGCTGACAGAAAAAAAGGTGCGTTTGTGTGATGTGCACCATTTCCCCACTGCCAGAAGCCCTCGTTAGTACCTGGAATGATAAATGTTCTTCAAAGGATTTACGAGTGGGCCAACGGACAAGTTCTGAACCCAGTGAACAGAACTTGACAGCACAGAACAAAGCAGCATTTTACTTTACAGATCAAAGGTTACAAAGGCTGTAAAACACACAGACACCCAAAGCGCTGGAGATCAACCCGTGGCGTCAGACTGGATTCGTTCTGTTTTGAAACCCTCGATTATGAGGGGCTGGGTCTCACCCCCAGCCCCACACACTGCGTACTTCCCACTGCTCCCATTCATTCATCAGAGAGGAAAAAAGGTTTCAGCAAGAAGGATCTCTTTAAAAACATACAAACGAGCACATTTCTGAGATTGGTGAAAGTAAGACTGTGCATACAGTTACAAAATCAAAAGATAGAAAGCTGCAGAATGCTGGAACAGAAGAACACTCAATTCCTAACTCGTGGTTTAAAACCTATCTTGCACATGTAAAAACAGAAGGTCTGAAGGCTCCCATAGGATTCTTTAAGAAGCAAGCCTAACTCTGCTTTCTTTTCAAACGGAACAGATTTCAGTAACTGCTGTGACCAGAAGTTGTCACAACACGTGGAGGCTGTCTGCTCGTAGAGCTCCTCGTGGAAATACTTCTACCCAAAGTACTCCTATCAAAAACAACAACCCCAAACCTGACAGCTTCTCCACAGTCCACAAACTGATGAGTAACATGAAGCTTGCTATACAGTTCTAAGCCCGCTGGGTCAACAAACACAATGCAAGATGTGAACAGGAAGGGATGGGAGGAGGCTGACGTGGAATTACACCTAATGCGCTCACAAGCTTTCCCAGTGCCCAACCTCACAAAGCAGCTTTCAGTCAGAATACCTGAGTCTAACTGATGCAATTAATACATAAAATGCACGTGTATTCACTTTTTTCACATTGTCTCCTGCATTGCTGCAGATAAGTTAAAAAACTGCAATATGTCTACAAAATTATATATCGTTTTGAGCCAAACCAGCAGCAAATTCTCTCCCACCATTCATTTCAGCCACCGCTTGAACAGACTGTTCAAAGTGCTCTATAAAACTAAGACACTGTGCTACAGACACTTTGCTGCCCCTTCCTCCTCCTAACACGATGCAGCATAGCTTGGTTGTTTGGAATGAGATCTGACCATCAGCACCACCACTGACAGCTTTAATTCCACCTGGGACAACATCCACTGTTTATTCCACTTACCATCTGAAACACCACGGGCACTACGAAGAAGTGGTGCCACAACCAGGTGTTTCACATGTTGGGAATAAACCAGAAACCTGTAGGCTTATTCCTTCTTTCCAGACACTCCTGTGCTTTAAGACAACTTTCTGCATTCCTGGCATTTAATTAGCATTTAGTAAGACTGACAGCAGGGGTTCTGATCCACCGGAGCCCTGTGCCATGGTCCACGCTATGAATATTCTCTGAGCCTCACCACCAATACCAGGAAAAGCAGCTTCATATTGCACAGTTTTTTCATCCCAGGTCCAAAGCACAGGGATTAGGTTTAAGACTGACGTGACATCTCCAAATGGGAGATGCTTTCTCAAAGGTTTGTTTAAGCCGGAAAAGTGTCGTATAGCATCTCTCCACACACCCTGAAAAGTAAAGTGACTTGAAGGTAAAAACACCACCACTGGAAGCCCTGCTGTGATCCAGTCTATGCTGGCACCCAGATGGGGAGTGGATGAGCTTCTGTGTTAAATACGTATTTGTCAAGATTAATTAAGTCTATGTCATCTGAGAACAGCAGAAACATGTATTTGAGCGTTTCCCCAAGAAAGAAGCTCTCCATCTTATCTCGTGGCTCTGGGTTACTGGGGTTCTGAACGTTGTTAATAGAAGTATAGCCACCCGTAGGAACCTGCAGAAAGAGAAAAAAGAGCACTTTGTATATTTCTTTTACCTGAATATTGTTGTAACCTCTTAGCACGCAGGTGCTCTTGCAGAAAAACAAGTGCTAGTGAGCAGAATTCGTTCTTGCTTTTCATTTGCACATAAAAATCAGTTACAAAAATTCTGTGCAGTTCACTGAATTCTGGGCAAACCACTGAATGCAGAACACAGAACGAAATGAAGCAAAACGTCCACTTATGCTCAATTTGTAGAGATAGAGCAAAGCCTGCAGCACTAACATCTGTGGACAAAGGTACAGGAAATAACGGGCACTTACAGCTGGCCAGAGCACCACACTCATCTGTGGCCTCTTCTCAAGAAGACATTTAATCCCCATTGGCACTATGCTTTCTCAGCATATCAAAATGGACTCTTCTTAGCGCTCTCATCAGCATGAATACACAAAAGCCCTCTATTATGGCATTAGTGCACTTCCCTTGGCAGTTTGTATCTGGCAAACAAAGTGCTGCTTAAATCCAGCGAGATCTTTCTCAGCTTCTGAACGTAAAAGATCACAGCACAGATCCTAACAGCTTCCAAGACACAGAAAAGTTTTGGTAGTCTGCACAGAGCTGCTTTTACTTTTCAATTAGTGTAAAGTACAGTCACTGAAATAACTTGCAACTATTTTGTGCACCCTCAACTGTAAGACTCTGCGTTACCTGACTTTTGTTTTGCTCTTAAGAGATTCCCTGCAGATCTTTGATGGCTTTGAGAGACAAAGCGAGGTTTCAGCAGCTCTTGTTAGAGAGCAAGTGAGTTCAGTTCTGTAAGAACGAGATCATTACGAGCTGACCTTACCCGTGTGTATTTATTGAAGTTCTGCAAGATCTCCCAGCCCCAGTCCTGGTATTTCTTATCTCCGGTGAATCTGTACATGTAAAAAAGGCTTTCCACAGTTTCTGGTCGCAGTAAGTTGTGCCTGTCTGCAGGCTGCAAGAGAAAAATAAGAAAGCCAAGAATTCAGACCAGTAGTTCCTCCAAAAGCACATACACGGGGAGAAACAGCAACTCCCATCCCCATCCAACCCAAAAAGAGTTTTCTGTGCACAATTCAGAAGCTAAATACTCTGCAGGGGTAATTAAAAACAAGGGCTAGGGTACACCTGCAAAGCAATGCAGCAACAGATCAAGCCACTTTACAAAGTACATCACCAACGTGTGGCTGGGATATTCAGCAGCAGAATCAAGATAAGAAGGGTCATCAAACTACAGCTGATGCCAGTTGGCTGCTCACCTTGATTTCTACATCTTTGTGGCCCTTTTGTGCATGGAGATTGAAGTGCACGATCTCTGGGCTCAGGCCTGTCTCTACTTGTGCATACATCTGGTAACACGTTTCTATCAGAGCTTCAGCCAGCTTCATGTGATCAGCAGTCAATCCATTGTGAGCTCCCAGAGCCAAAGTCCCAGGCAGAAAACAAACTAAGTGATCCTGTAAGACAAGACAACTCTTACTAGGAAGAGAGGTCACACAAATCAAGTGAGGTAGGATTCATTTGACACTACTGGAACACACACTGTGACTTTTTTCCCCCAGACACTTCAGGTACCAAGACCTTGAGGGTAAATTTTAACAACCTGCTGCAGTGCAATACACAACAGGAAGCATTATGACAGCACCAGCCCAAATCTGGAAAAAGTACAAGTCCACATGTCTTTATGTCAACTATCTCAAAGAAAGGTGGCAGGTAGGGGGGAGGGGAGAGGCAGTGATCACCTGAAGGGTTCTCAATAAAGAACAAGTAAAGACAGGTATTGACATACATGTCAATATTTTAGAACAAAAACTGAGGTGGGACCACAGAGTGAGAAGAGTCAGCCACGAGAAAGGGCTCTGAGGAATGGGGAGAACTGAGTGCATGGCCTGAAATAATCACCTTCGTGTTACTGCAACACAGACAACGCTCACAGAGACACAACCGCCTTCACTCCATGCGCTGGTACAAGTGGAAAACACAGACAAGTTCTCAAACATATGAAGACTTACCCCCTTCTGTCATTTGGGCTGTGTTATTTCATGCTCACCTGCTACAAGCACCAAGCTTGTAGCACAGGAAGCAGCTGGTTCCCACTCCCAACCCTGCCCACCTCTGCACTGCACAGCTAGCTGCATGCAGGCACTGCAAACAAGGCACATCTGGCTCCTGTGTGTCACACAAGAGAGGCATCTGGGGGTGAGCGTGCACACACTCCTCCTGCTTGCTCCCCCAGCACAAAATGGGAGAGAAAGAACTACAGGGACAGTCCTTCCTCAGCTTTTCCACGCTACAGCAACAGTGCCTTCAAAGGACGGAAGGAACGCTAGCTCCACAAGAGATGGGCCACGTCTGGAAGCAACAAAGTCTTCTCAGCTGCCCAAGTCAGCTGAACACGTTGGAAAACAGCTCCAGAAGTCAGCTCCAACAACTTCCAATGTGCACTACAGGGCTGACCGTCCTCCTTCCAGGGGTAACCCACTGCAGATATGCATGTAGGAATTGTTGCAGGGTTATTGTCACGTACTGAATTCCAAATGATTCTTAACATGTGGAATGAAAGCTCTGGTTTCCCACTTGAACACAGGACACGTGTCCTGGTGCTCAGGCAGCACTGGTATGAACTATTGAACACTTTGTCCAATTCCATGGGCATTGGTTGAGGCTCAGCATAAGCACAGGAGCGTGACATCATGCTGCAAAACAGAGCTGGACGCTATAAAGAAAACAAACAACCCAAAGAGTTCCTTAAAGCTCACTGCAGGTACTGAAGAAGTGCACACAAGGCCACACATACATCAGTGATGCACCACAAAAAAAAAAAAGGCTACGTGTATTTGCATAAGATCTTTCACTGAAAGATTTTAAAACCAGATTTTAAGGAGTGTGACTCTGCAGATTAAGAGCAGGGAGTTCAGCTTAGCAAGTTTTCCCACCAGCAGATGGCTGCTTCAAACACTGCTTCAACTACTGAACACACATGCAGAAAAAGAAGTATCACAAATACACAGAACCCTCCAAAATTCTCATTTTTTCATTTTTTACTACTAACAGAGCAAGATGAGGTCAACTGCTTGTTTTCAAGGTTAATCTGCAAAGCCGGGTGTACCTTTAAATTTTTGTATCTCTGAATTATGGAGAAGTATTACACAGAACAGACGTTGTCACAGCAGCTTCTGACACTGGGATTCTATGGCAAAGGAGGTGCATTGGGGCAGAATTCAAATCCAACACCGACATGTTAACTTTCACATGAATGTAAATGCAGTTGCTGGTGAAAGAGAAGGTCCCCGGGTAACCATTATCCTCAAACTAGTTGCTGTTACTACATCCATACACATCCACAGAGCCTGCAGCCTTTGAAAACAGGCTGATGAGCCTGGTGGAGCTGCAGCAATTCTCCCAGTCTCTCTGCAGTGCTCCTCACACCTCAGCTACGTGTAAACTGTCAATCCTGTTGCTAATCATCTTCCAGTAGTGGCTCAAACAGCCAGAGGAAACATTTTTGCTCACAAAGTGATTGCTACAGGTCAGATTTTGTCTGAAAAGCCACACATGAGAGCATCCCAGCCTCACACTTGCATATGTTGTTTTTTTTTTCTTTGTGGTGGTGGTTTTGCTCGTTTTCTTGTTGTTATGTGCAGGTGTTCTCTTACCATCTTGGCACTGAAATGGCCATGAGCAAGCTCTCCTACAAAGGTAAGCTTCTTGGGTTGTGACCTCTGAAGAAGATGCTTTTTCACGCCTTCTATGGCTCTCATGTAGTCCTCCAGCAGTCTGTAAATTAAAACCATTCCCAGTTGGCTCACATACACACAGGATCCATTTCATCACAGCTGATGATGTACGTTTATTAGCTACGTTGGGTTTGTTTTTCACGTAACTCCAAAGAAATAAAGCAAACATAACTCCAGCTCTGTTTCCAAACAACAACTAGACATCATTTCAGGAATCCTGAGGAGTACTGTAACCACAGAAAGCCCCAGCTGGTAATGATGTCCTGGACATCTGTAGTGCAGCCTCCTGCTCTGAAGCAATTGGGTTTTACCAGGTTGCTTGGACGGTTATCCAGTTAATTTCTGAGCATCTCCTAAGCAATGACTTTGAGCAATCTTTTCCAGTGTTTGACCACTCATTATGAATCACTTCTTCACAGTATTTAACTGGACTTTCCATTGTTCTAAATATTTTTAATGAGAAAGTCATTTTGTAATTCCCTTCTGAGGCTGGCAGAGCACCATCACAGCCTAAAGACAACGGTTCTGTTTACAGTAAGGCATGGCTTGTAAAAAGTCATGATGCAAACTACACAGAGACAGACCAGGCCCTCAACAGGGCCTCACTGGGGCACACTGCCTCTCTGGATGAAGTGAACCCATTGACATGAGACACTTCCAACACAATTTGCTTATAAATACTGCTTGATTATTTCCCCCTTAGTTTTGGACGAAGCCTTCAAACATCCAACTTTTCTACTCCGTAAAAACATTCCTTTCCACTTATCCAAGGGCAGACAGGAGGAAGTCAGGAGACCTCAAGTAATGCTTAAACAAATGCTCAACCTCCTAAGAAGTTACACCTCACAAACTCACCTCCTACCACAACCATCCATAGCAGCTGTCCTTCCCTAGCAAACCCAGAGAACACTCGGACAGCTGGTGAGAGGCAGTACAGTTTCCAAAGGGAGCCTCATTTCCAAAGGCAGCCTGTTTACAGTCCATCTTTAGTGCAAAGACTTGAATCGCTTCTCCTGCCCGTAACATTTGTCACATCTGATGTGATGATGAAAAGATTTGTGAGGAGACATTTTGAGAGCAAGCCCAATTCTCCAGCTGTTTTAATCTCAACTTACCACAGGTCATCCTACACCCCCTTCTGCAAGTGAGCTACTTTAAGCTGGCTGTTACATATACACATTGTATTTCTTCCAGCATAAAACTACAACAGAAATGTTTACAGCTTGTATCAATTTCACACCAGCGTGAGAAGCAGAAAGAACTTACTCATTTTCTGTTCTCCCACCCTGAATCCACTGCTTGAGCAAATACTCGTAGTAGCTGTCAGCTCTGGCTCCCAGAGTATAAACACCTAAGTGAGTGAACTGCCCACTGTTGGTGTTTATGAACATAGGCACCAGTCCATCATTTTTCCCTGAAAGGGTGTGAACATGCTTCATCACCTCATCGACAGCTTTCTAGAAGAAAGAACAGCATAAACATAAATTGCACACATTCAAATGACACAAAAAACTGTGGCCAGCAGCTTCTGGCCAGTAACAAATCTTTAGTTATCCTTCTGCATGCAAGTTCAGGTCATGGGATTTAATAAACACAGCATTTCAAGCTTTCTGACTATCAAAGCCTGTGTTCCCAGTATGCCCAAGTACTCTGAAATAATTAAAACTCTTTCCTTCTCAAATACAAAGCTCAAGTGTATTCCTGAGTGCAGAAAGCCCACTCAAAAAACAGTGTACTTCAGTGTGAGGCTACGATCTGACTAAAACAACTGCATGAACCCTGCTACCCCTGAAGAAATAACAGCACTATTCAAAGCATGAGCTCCAGACACACCTTAAAAACAACAGAATAACATTACCAAAAAAATAACCATGAAAATTATTCTTTTCTATGAAATTATTTTTGTTTTAAATAAATTCTTCTTACACCATGACACACAATCTAATTTATAGCTATTTTGATTATGTGAAAGGTAATAAGAGTATTTTTTTTCCTTAGAATTTACATAATGGCATGAAGAAGCCATTCCAAAAGCATGAAGTTATGCACAGCATTACAGCCCACGTTGAATTTTCTTGCCGAGCTGACAATGTACTGTCAAGCAGAAATACCATCCTAAGAGTGAAGGGATGGGTGCGAGGAGATGGCTGTCCTGGCTTTTTGCTAAATAAAAAGCTGCTCCCAAGGAAGAACAACAACTGTCTCCACCATTACCTTCTGGTACTTCAGAAAACAACTGGAACGATTGGAATTCTCCTTTCTTCACATACAGTTTCACAACTCATTTAACATCAGGGAGACCACAGGCGCTGGCGGTGCCGTAGAGAACCACAGAGTAAGAAAGAAGAAGAGAAGGGGTAACGCCAAGCTGTTTTTCCATACCTGGTACTTTTCATCCCCAGTGAGGCGAGACAGCTCTCTGAACTCCAGCTGAATGCTGGTCACCTCTGCCACAGTGCTGTCCGACGTCCAGCGGGGCGGGTGAGCGGTGCCACGGCCAATGTTGACGTCGGAGTACGGGATCCTGGAAGGAGTCCTGAAGGCGGGCATGAGCCTGTCCCCAATGTCCTTCTGAAGGACACGGGAGAAAAAAGAAAAGCAAACGTCAACACGTGCGAGCTGCCAGGTTTGCTTTCAACAATCGGATGAGTGCAGTAGCAGCCCAGCTCTAGATTGTGAGAGAAAGACAAGAGTTAAAAGCGGTCCCGGATTAATTTGGAAGAACAGCTAGTTTCTACCTCCTTCCTGCACTGCATGCCTCAACCAAGCCCACAGTCCCTATACAACATGACTTAATGTTGAAATCATCGACTCTGCCTTATTTAAGGAGGTGGCTGATGCTGTCAAGATGCAGTGAAAAGGGGACAAAATCTACCAAATACTCTTTTCAAGACACCGAAAAGCCATTCAAGCTTTTGTTTCATAAAATTCCTTACAATGGTCAGCTTTTCATCAACAGAAGGATCTGAAAGGCCTATCTAAAATAGCACCTGATACAACACAGTAGAGCTCTAAGTTGATGCAGAGAGCAAACAAATACAGGTTTAAAAAATTAATGGTAAATTCCTCCCCCCCCATTCTGATTATGAAACAGCTGCAAAACAGCAACATTTAACTTCCTGATGAACCCTTCCCCAACCTCTTCCACTATGATATACTGATCCAATTTACTTCCCAGGACTGATCACTCACAGCTTTTTCCAGGAAGAGGCTATCCCCAGAGAGATGGTAGGTGCTCAGCAAGCCTCCCAGGATACGAATAGTGCTCTCAAACAGGTTCACATCCACATTTTTATCAAAGGCTAAATCGTTTGCTACCCATTTTCTTGCTTCTTCAAACTCTGCAAAGTATAAAATATAGCACAGTTACGAACCTCTAGCATGTTCCAGCAACTGTACTAGAGACAGTAGCATATGATACTTGACAGTTATATATTTGTCTACAGGCATCATTATTTAGTTGGAAAACTAAAACAAAGAGCAGGAGCTGGGCCAAGTTTGATTACCATCACCTTCGAACTGCAGAACTGCTAAGGTTGGAAAAAGAACACTAAGATCATCCAATCCAGTTATAAAACCATCCCCACCAATACTCTCTAACCACGTCCCTCACTGCCACATCACCACGGTTCTTCAACACCTCCAAGGATGGTGATTCCACCACTATCTTCCTTCATTCGGGGGTAAATTGCCTTCACCTGTGCTCCCAGGGCTGACTCAGGTGATCAATCAGTGGTTAAGGCCGTGATTCAGGAGTTCCCATACAGGCCCAAAAAGCTTAGCTCTTATTCAGCACGCACCACAGACATACACAGAGAAATATCAGCCAAAAAAATAAAAAATCATAATTATTTAAGGTGAAAAAAAATTGGGAAAACTGAGGAACAGTTTATCAATCCTAGAATGGCCTGGGTTGCAAAGGAGCACAGTGCTCATCCAGCTCCAACCCCTGCTGTGTGCAGGTCACCAACCAGCAGCCCAGGCTGCCCAGAGCCACATCCAGCCTGGCCTTGAATGCCTGCAGGGATGGGGCATCCACAGCCTCCTTGGGCAACCTGTGCCAGTGCCTCACCACCCTCTGGCTCAAAAACTCCCTCTTCATATCCAACCCAAACCTCCCATGTCTCACTTTAAAACCATTCCCCTTGTCCCATCACCATCCACCCTCACACACAGCCGTTCCCCCTCCTGTTTATCCGCTCCCTCCAACCACTGGAAGGCCACCATGAGGTCTCCTTGCAGCCTTCTCTACTCCAA